AACCATTCCATGGTTCTGTGATTTGAAGGGGACACAAATGCCATAAGAGTTGAAAGAATAAAAACATGAACATGGGGTTTTTTTCTGTACAGAACTTTATTGTTCAGGGGGGATGGTTTATATTTATCTAGTTTGAGTTTTTGCTGAAGAGAATGAGGTTGGTGCCCTCTCCCCTTCCTGCACGTCAGTGTGTGGCAGCAGAATCACACAGAAAGTGTGAATGTCCAAAGGGAAAAGTCCCCAAAAACTCTCCAGTGGGAAACTTTTGAATGTAAAAGGGGTTTTCAGACCTTTATGCTGAGGAGTTAAACAGAGTCGGTGTTCCATGGGATTTACCAGACTTGGTGGGGGGGTGGGGAAAGAAACATCTAGCAGTGTAGTGAAGACTGCTCGCCTTTTTGCTGTCAGAAGCCCGACTTTTGGATTTGATTTTGAACATTTAACGCTATTTTATTATCAAAAATAATGGAGGGGGTGAAACTGTTGAAGATTTGATGGTGTTTCTGTCCTCGTGCAGAGGTTTGGCTGCTGTCTTTTCACTTTTTCAATACTTGAACTGTCCCTGAAACGTGCCCCTAAGAAACCCCCGAGCTGTAGTTCACCACGCGCGTACGTGTCCCTCCAGGTTGGCCACATCCGTGCGGAGCGGGACATTCTCGTGGAGGCGGACAGTCTGTGGGTTGTGAAGATGTTCTACAGTTTTCAGGACAAGCTAAACCTCTACCTCATCATGGAATTCCTTCCCGGAGGTAACAACCTGACATCACCAGGCTGCTTTCCTCTTGCTTGTGGGTTTTATTCCCAAACACGGTCTGAGGGAGCGTACGTGGTTACCTTATGCTGGTGTGCGCTGGGCATCAGTCTGTGAGGAAACCGAGCTTTCTGCTCGGGGAGTTAGGGGGCTGCGGGCCAGGCTGGAGGGGATCTGCTTGCGTCTCCTAGCAACCCGTGTCTGCCACTTGGCCTTAACGTTCTGGTTCGTACCCTCGCTGTGCGCTGGCTGTCCGTAGATCCGTCCCACGACCAGCTTTTGGTTTGCTAACCCTTGAGCTGGCCTGCAGCCAGGGTGCCTTCTCAGGTCCTTCTTTTTCAAAGGATGATAATTGTCCTTGAATGATGCTGCTGCTGTCATTCACTTGGGAGAGTGAGGCTGAAAGCCTGTGGTACGCGTGACTAGTGAAAGCGCAGAGCGCTCTCCGGGGCGGCACCGCACGAGGGCAGTCTGCTTCCGGAACAGCTCTGACAGTCGCCCTTTTCACCTGTTCTGATGTGTGGTGGAGTGGCAGGCCCTTGCCGGCTCTTACGGGGGCTCTTCGCCTGTCCTGGCAAGTTTAATGTGACAGCACGGGTCTTCCCACATACAGGGGGAATACAAGAGGTCACAGAGGGGATGGGAAACTCTGTTACTTTATAGGAAACCCGATTTCCTGAGATTTTCAGTAGCTTAATTGTTTTCTTCGCAGAATTAACAGCAGTGTAGGTTGTGTGCGTGTTTGTATTTACCTTTTTGCTCCTCGTGGGGCGGCTTTTAGGTGACATGATGACGCTGTTGATGAAAAAAGACACTCTAACGGAAGAAGAGACCCAGTTCTACATCGCTGAGACGGTGCTAGCCATTGATTCCATTCATCAGCTCGGTTTTATCCATCGAGACATAAAACCCGACAACCTCCTTCTGGACAGCAAGGTCTGTACCAGCCACCGGCTGGGTGCTGGTAAATCGCTTTTGTAACTTCTGATGTTGACCTGAGCTAGGGGTGACGGTCGGGAGAGAAGACGGTGCTTCTCTCTTAGCCGTGTTCCGTCTCGCTTTTGAGGGCGTATCTGCCATATTGCTGGGGGTGGGGGGAAGCCGAGCTGCAAAAGGCCTCTCCTCCCCCTCCAGCTGTGTTCATACCTCACGTACGAGCTCTCTTCTGACAGTTATTGAAGCTATTTTAGGTTATTTCAGCCGCAATTTAAAACAGTTTCAGTTCTCCCCTCTTTGTCAAAGATGTTTCCTTGTGGTCTCGCATCTGTTACGCTCACGTTTGCCAGCTCTCGGGTATCAAATGGGAAGGATGTAGCTGTTCCATGGGCAGGACTGGAAACCGAGACACCTCCCTCGGAATCAGGATGCCCAGGCGCTACCCGACTGCTTCTAGATGGTTACTAGGGGAAGGCTCGATCGTTTCACTGTTCTCCGATTGCTCACTGCAAGTTTTTTGCTTACAAGTGAGCTGGTTTGAAAAAGTTGGCCAACAGCAAACCCTGATGCTTCAGCACTGGCCAGCCAGTAACGCTGTCGGAATCAGTGATGTAGTTACTGAGGTAATTCAGTACGCTGACAGCGAGACAGACAAACAGGACTGTGAAAAGCGTGTGTAGTTTAGATACACCGCGGAAAACTCCGCATCGCCGGTGCGGTCGCCTGTTACGCGCTAGGACAGATCCAATCCATGAATTTAAGGCGTTTCTCCGTATGAACGCGCAGTCCAGGGCCTACAGCTCCCTCTGGAGACGTCCCCTCTCCCTGGGAAGTGGTCAGGAGCTTGCAGGAGCAGAGGTTTCCTGGAGTAAATAGCTACAGGGCGCTCTCTGTGCAGCAGAAAGTGTCGATAGCTCGATCCTGCATACACATCCCGTCTTGGGCCAAACCAAGGAATGCGAGAGGAGTGCGTCTGCTTCGTACGCGAAATAAAGGGACGGGAAGAAGCAGAAAACTCTTTGCTGTGATGATGTCTCACCCGGGTTTTGTGGTTTTTGTTTGTTTCTAGGGGCACGTGAAACTCTCCGATTTCGGTCTGTGTACTGGACTAAAGAAAGCCCACAGAACAGAATTTTACAGAAACTTGAACCACAGTCTGCCTAGTGACTTCAGTAAGTTATCTGCCTTCAGGGGGGTACCCCCGGGCTGTCGGTGCCTGACACAACTCATTTCCACGAGAGCTTAGAGGCTGCAGAGTGGAGCCTGATAACAACGTTGCATCATGAGGCACAATTCTGATTTTCTGTAGACCTTATTTATAAAAATCGTTGTAGTTACATTAATGTACATAAACACCATTTCTAGAAGTTTGTCTCTGAAGTAGATGCTGCCGTAGCCTTTCTTTGCACGGGTAATAAACCTGGAAGGAAATCCCCGTGTGACTTCGTAGATGCTCTATCTCCTGCGTTATTTAAATTGGAATACTCGGTAATTTTCTCTCGGGAGTAACTGTCCGGGGTGTTGAACACGGAAAGCATGGATCGCTGATGAAAGGCCCTGTGAAACTGTGTCAGCGTTGCGTAGGTTTGGAAGTGGCTGGTAGGTTTAGGGCGTTGAGATGTCCCCTCTGCGCCATCTGTGCTGGGGGAAGAGGTTACACCCCTCGCTTTGCTCTCAACTGCCAGCGGCTGCCGCCTGCTAGAGGCTGCTGACGGCTGCAGGATCCCCCTGGATCCTGCCAGGAAAACAGGAAGGCACGGCTGAGGCGCGTTAGCTCCGTCAGCTCTGCGGATGCAGCTCTTCTTCAGTTGTAAGGGAGGTTGTGCGATGGTTTTGGGGTAAAAATGTGTGTGGGGTGATCAGTGGGAGGCAATCACATCTATTCCAATTTCCTGCAGCTTTCCAGAACATGAATTCCAAAAGGAAAGCCGAGACTTGGAAGAGAAACAGACGGCAGTTGGTAAGTGCGTTTCGCCTCCTTGGAAGCGGCCTGCGCGGAGCCGTTGCGTTCAGGTGGCAGAGTCTTCAGGTGACGGGCGTTCATCCACGCTCCGAGCAATGCTGAAATCTTTTTCAAAAGAAGAGGAATGACTCCAGCCTCTCCTTCAGCCGTTTGCTGAGCAGCTGGTGACGTATGTGCCCGAGAGTGCACTGCCATAATTATTTACATTGATACCCCATGCCTCCCAGCTAAATTAACTCTTTCTGAATAACAAAGCGCTAACGACCCATTCCGAGGTGTACTAGACAGTGGTACCTCTCCCTGTTTCCCTGATGGTATTTCAAGACTCTTTCACGTGAACATGTTGATTTTCATAGAATGGTTTGGGTTGGAAGGGACCTTAAAGACCATCCAGTTCCAACCCCCCTGCCACGGGCAGGGACACCTTCCACTAGACCAGGTTGCTCCAAGCCTCATCCAGCCTGGCCTTGGGCACTCCCAGGGATGGGGCATCCACAGCTTCTCTGGGCACCCTGTCCCAGTGCCTCCCCACCCTCTGCGGGAAGAATTCCTTCCTGATATCTAATTCTGTTTCTGCACATCTTGAAATAAAGGCTTTCAGCAACTTTGCTAAAGGATCTTGGAGCCAATCTGGTGTCTTCCTCAAAGTAACCGGTGTAGCATAAGTTCCCGCTTCCATGTCGGGCAGTTTTCTCTGAAGATGTGTAACTGGTGGTATTTCTTCCAGGCTTTTTCTACTGTGGGCACTCCGGATTACATCGCCCCGGAAGTTTTCATGCAGACGGGGTACAACAAGCTCTGTGACTGGTGGTCCCTCGGGGTCATCGTGTACGAGATGCTGATCGGTAAGAAACAGGCCGCGCGCAGGTTTTGAGCAGGAATCGTGGTGTCAGCTGAGTCTGTGCTGGGGCTCAGGTGCCCTGAGCATCCACTCCTTGCCTGGTTTGGGAGCTTTGCTCTGGCGCGCCGTCGGCTTCGGTAACGGCAGGAACTGTTCTGGCGTGATTCAAGGTTGTGTGTTTCTCCATCCTCAGGTTATCCGCCGTTCTGTTCGGAGACTCCTCAAGAGACATACAAGAAAGTGATGAATTGGAAAGAGACTCTCACATTCCCTCCCGAAGTTCCAATATCTGATAAAGCCAAGGATCTTATTTTAAGGTGCCCAGCAAATGGTTTGCCAGTTGATAGAGTAATTCCTTGTCTTTCAGACTCTGTGTACCCCTCCTGGGTTGTTGCGCATGAAGAAAAGCCCCGATGCTTGCGCTAGCAGCTACGTAGCCTTACACACACGTGTCAAATGCTGAACTCCCTCGTCAAACACGTGTGTCTCTCAGAGGTCATTTCGTGAAGCCCTGGCTGAACTGTACTAAAAAGGAGCTCCCGTGGAAGTGCTGCTTCCAGGAATGTTTCTGTTTTTTGCTTTTTCTGTGAGCTTCTCATGGAAGCACCTTCATCCCTTGGCCAGAGTAGTACTAGTAGTAGTAGTAGTAGTAGTAGAAGTCACCCCTTCTTGCAGTAGTGCTGGTTCTGACATCGCAGGCGCTGCAGCGTGCAGACGTACCCCTGTGCCTGCTGACTCCTGCTCTTTCAGTGACATTTTCAAGCACTGACCTAGGCTCAGGACAGAAACACAAATGTCAAGCTTTTCAGGCTTTGTATGTTCTCCTGCTCTGCACTGCTCCTGACATAGAAAGGGCACGTTGTTGGGAAAGAATACCACATCTTAATTGTAGCATTTGACACGCCCTCCCCAAGCGTAACTCTGGGTGTTGGTTTGCGGTGGGAGTGCTTAATCCTCTCCGTTTGTGTGTTAAGGAACCGCCGTCGTATCCATTCAGAAAGCTGTTCCTTTTCTGGAGGGAACGCCTTCGTTTTCATTCTCCCTTCCTTTTCAATCTTCCTTCCATCCCAGATTTTGCTGTGAATGGGAGCACAGAATTGGTGCGTCTGGTGTGGAGGAAATCAAGAGTAACCCGTTCTTCGAAGGGGTCGACTGGGAGCATATCAGGTAAGAGCGAGCCGCTCTCCGCTGCGGGCGGGTGAAAGCTGTGACTGGCGTTTGCGGCGTCTGGGGGAGAGCGTGGTGTTCCCGGGAGCTTGCTACGCCTTGGGTACCTTCCGCCTTTGATTCTGCTCAGAAATCGGAAGCGGCTGAATCCCGCTTTCTCCTGCTTTTGAAATCTTAATGCTGGAACTGCTCTTCTTGGCAGAGAGAGACCTGCTGCAATCTCGATAGAAATTAAAAGCATTGATGATACCTCAAACTTTGATGAATTTCCAGAATCTGATATCCTTAAACCAACAGGTAAATGCTTTGATTCTGCATGTAAACAATCCTTCCTCTTTTCCCATGGCATAATGTCACCTCCCTGCGAATCAGAGAAAGGGTCTTCCTAGATGCTACGTTTTTTATCACAATCAAATTCCTAGCTCGGTAGTTCTGCGGTGCAGGGGAGTGCCAGCTCCATGCTGGGCTCCGGGAGACGGGGTGCGGAGCTCCAGGCTG